TTACAAAAACAAAGCTGTTCTTCTAGAACTGAAGAGAAAGGTTGTAACAAGCAGAATTTCCGTCCTTGGATATATTTGAAATTTTGATTTTTCTATAACATAAAACTGTACAAACTTGGAGCTCTAAGGCATAGTTTCTAATATGTTCAGTAATGGCACATTTGCCGGAATTGGATTTTATCATTAATATCATAAACTTATTCATTATATATAAACTATTGGACTTTTAATAACTTGTTCACTTGTATTTACTGGTTTAGAGTTCTGTATTTCAGTAAAAATCATTCTATATATTCTATGTCTATTGTTTTTTTTTTCTGAAAGAAAGTTTTACTTCAAATTTTTTTAATTAACACTTTATGAAGCTTATATAAGCTTATTTAATCTTCATATATAGTAAGTAAAAAATTAATTATTTAAACCAATAATCTAAGTTTTGGAGCCATTAGCGTTTTTTATAATTATAATAAAATATAATATAAAAATACTTTAAATAAACAATAAAATTATAATCTTTTTTGTTTATGAAATAAAGAAATATCTAGTACATGGAATAAATAAAAGAACTATATATTTTGAGTTTTTGTATATATCAACTTAAATACTGTCCTTATGGTTTCTTAATAGTACCATAAAAGAACATAAATCTGGTCCAGTATTTTTCTTAAATAATAATAAAAATATAATAATAATAATAGAAAATAAAATGCATGTTCTTTTAATATTTTTTTATTAATAAAGACCTATTATGTGCTCTACTTTACTTTATAAGTAAATACATAAAGTTTCCCATATACACTCTTAGTGTACATTATATACTCATTCACAGCAAAAAATCGTGTGTGTCGAAATTAAATCTGACATCAAAGCATCGGCCGAAAACCAAAAACAAGAAATATATCTCTATTGAGCTTTGCCGCCCTCACCAACTATTACAGTTTTTCTACATATTTTCGTTTTTTTTTTTTTTGTTTTTTTGTATTTTTAATTTTTAAAAGTTTTTATTTACTTTTGGAACTGTTGACCATTTTCATACTCGTACATTTCAGGTGTGTAGCGGACGCTGTGGTGAGCGTATTATCACCCATTCATTCCTTTTCAGCTACAGTTGCAGTTTGGTTATGAATGGAACTGTACCAAATGCAATTGATGCTTTACAAATTAACGGCGCAGACCCAACTTTTCACAGCAAACGTCCAGTCCAAAGCAAATTAATTACACTAATTGACAGCAGATGACGTTCACTGAAAGCACAACAGCGCAGAAGCCCTCCACGTTACCGAATGCCACATTTCATCAGACTTTCCCGGTGTGTGAGTATATTCAACTGTGTGCCAATTACTTGGAAGTACTTAGTATCTTTATTTGAACAGATCGACATCAATGGGCCACACTGCTTTAGTAATAGGTGGTGGTTGGAGAAGTATTTGTTGATAAAACTTTATAAAAAATCGCCTGTTCGTGACTATATTTCAGATACGCAAAATTTTACTTTAACTCTACAGTTTCGCTTCAATTATGCAAAAACAACATGAACCATTTACTTACTATTTACCAATAAATGAATCAAAGCTACCTGCACAAACGTCGTAGTTTTAAATTAATTTCACTGACATTTATATTCAATTCAATATCAATTAAAACACCGGTTAAATTGGTTTTTTATAGCAAATGTAAATTTAATCTAACAAAAAATAGCATTACAAAAGCCTTATTATTTATTAAAAATACTATAAATGCAAACACAATTATATATATACTTAAAAGTCACGTCAAACCAAACTGAACATATAAAAACTATATGATAAGTCAAGAGCTAAATTTATTAAATACTAGCAAGGTGAAAGTGGTACTACCTTATAACATGATTTGATCAATATTGTTTCTACAATTACCCAAGAGTAACGTGATAAAAGAGTACGTTTTCATGATGAAAAAAAATGTTTTCTTTTGTCTCTTTTTCCTTACTTTCACTATCTAAGTAATTTAAAAATCCGATCAGACGCATCAACAGCACAGGAACATATACTGAACTAACGAAAAGGATCTCAAAAATATACACTTAATTATTTTTCAATACTAACCAATACGTCATCAATGGAAAACTTTTAATGTTGTGAAAAATCGAATCCAACATAGAATTGCCTGACCAATCAATTTATCAAGGTCAATATCCAATTGGTCAGAACAAAGATCAAAATAGCAAAACTCATGGCGGTACTGACAAGCCATCGGGAGACGAAAACTCACTCTGGGATATGGATGAACCAATGTATGAAAATGCGGAATGCAAAAAATATCAAATATTTGCATATTTTCCAAAGCAATTGGTGAAGATAACACCAAATGATTGGAGAATTATTATTGAAGTTGAAGCAACCGCGTTACCAATGGGTGTTGCTATGACTCCGTATTCGAAAGAGCGAAATCGTTATTTTGCCGTAAGAGCTATTGATGTATATAATCATTGTGGCGAATTCAGTAAACCAAACCGATAGGATTTTTAAGTATATATCATAATATCTTTTTCAGTCATAAGACAAGTTTTTTGAATTTCAAAATTAAACTCTATTACTACTTACAGTTTCATCATAGTAAATACCATGGAGTTTTCATTAAAACTATTCAAAAAAAAACAAATAACGACTTTTAACATGAACCATTCTTATGGATGATATTGATTTATATATATATTGATATATGTATGTAATCATTTATGTTTTCGTTAAATATTTGATTTTTTTATAAAAATTACTACTTATTAAATAAAGTTAAGAGGTAGAAACAAATTCTTAATATATTGTTGCATGTTCAAGTAAAAATAATTTTAACAAAATAACTAACAGGGTTTTATTTTAGAGCAGTGGGCCTAAAGCTATTCTTGCTGGAAATATTTCACTTTTATATTGACGTATATTATAACTAACATTTAAAAATAACACTTTTAATTTAGCTTATCTATATAGAAGCTTAAGAGACTTAAAGGCATTTATAGAATGCACCGTACTTGTATCCCGACAATACGTTCCGGAAAAGTTACAACATTAATTTAGCCATGCACTACTAAGCAAGGCGACCACCACATTAAAGCTGGTATTGAAAAACCACTCTGTAGATAAATGTCAACCAAATATAAAAAAGAAAAAAAACCAAATATAGAATGAAGATTAACAATAATTTTGTATTATCAGCTATGTTGTAAATTTATAATATAAAATATAACAAAGTACGACACTAAATACTATCGTTTTGATATAGCTGATTAGCTTTAATCTGCAATCCGTTTTTCTCCCAGAAATCTGGATTTCTAGCAATAATTGTTTAAATGTCAAAAAATTAAAGTTTTTTGTATTTTTCAATAAACATATTTTCTCAAGTTCCCTTCTTTCCTCTAAAAAGAAGTTATTTTTCAAATATTTCAAATATTTACTATATGACATACCAGGTCTGTTCCCCGAGCTACTCGTAGGAAAACTCAAGTAAAACACAAGTAAAATTTACACGAAAATACAAGAGAATTTGCTGCCGGAACGCACTTGTGTATAGACATTGTATAGATAAAGTTACTACGAGTAGCTCATGGAAAAGACCTACAATCCATTTATATAAGAGTAAATAACAAAACAACATACTATAAAAAGTAAGCTACTATTAGTCATAACCTCAGTTTAGAAAATTTTCTCCCTCTTGAAGGGTGCTTGCTCTTATCGAAGTAGTCTTGATTAAACCTTAGACAATGAGGTGAGATGGGGAATGTGACATGGAGTGAGGTATGACTCAAAATGAGGAAAAGTTAGAGATGACTGAATCCCGAGTAGAGAAATTTTGTCATAAGCCAATGGATATCAAATTTATGTGTGGAGTTGAGCATAAAAACAGATGGGCGACGACATGTGGAGAACGCATGGCAAGTAATTGTGTAACACTTAGTTATATGCTGAACTTACTTTGGTAATGACAATTCTAGGGGCTAGGGTAATGAACAACTACTCAAGTGCTCTAAATATTTCTACGAAGTATTTCACAGCCAGTAAGGATTCATTACACACAATGACATACCTAATAATTGAACAGTTCAACAATATGTTGGAGAACTAAGTGTATAATGCCAATAAAGGATGAAGTACTAAACGTCACCAAATTACTAAAACTAAATGTTATCATGAAATGATAATATTTATACAAAATTTTTTAGAGTTTGTGAAAGTTATAAGGTTACCCACCATACAAAATATCATATATGGAAAGCGACTTGTAAACTTATCAACCCTGTGATTTTTCTTATATGATCAGATAAGATGACGAATGACTTTGATATAACATACAATTACACAACATTATTTTTTCCTGAATAAATATAATTATACTTTTAAGAAATAAGCAAATTGATATTAAGAGACCCATTTAAACACGAGTTCGTCAATGGTCGACAAAACTTAACACCAACAGTGCAAGTCAATCAATAAAGAATCTTAGTTCTTTTGGAAGAACACATCAGACTGTGGCAGTCCAAAAAACAATCAGGGCACATAAGTTGGCGAATAAGTAAACACACTGCAAACACTTCCATTATTATAAAACATTATTAAGTATCATCTAATATCGCGTTCATCAACTTTATTAACTACCAATCTTCCTCAGCTTCTCACCAATAAGGAAGGCGTGCACTAAACAAGGCGTTCATTCAAATGTTAGAATTAAAACCTACATTTTATTTAGAAAATATCTTAATAATTCCTTTATTTAAAGACCTTTATATAAAATTGAAGGTTATTTCAAGATTTGTTTAAATATTTAAAGTACGTAAATAGTAAGAACCCTGATCATAAAACTTACCATTGGTACAAAAACGTTTGCATATTTCTGACTACTTCGATATGAAGTATATATCTGTGCTTCACTTTCAGTTATTTTTGAATTGAATATCAGCAAAAGTTTTTTAATTCAGTAACATTTGATAATTTTGTATTCAAATTAAAAAAAAATTTTGTAAGAATTTTATTGTTACAAGAACATATATTTCAATTCTAACATAACATGTATTTATCTGCTTTGGAAAGTATAAATTACTGATATATTATTGAAAACATTTAATCTAAAAAAATTAATCAAAATCGGTTAGGTGAAATTATATAGTATATAGTCGTTTGATACATTTGCCATTTGCCATGTATACGTTCCAAATTCAGTTGAAAGATGCAGACACTAATGAATCGGACACTAATATAGTTGGAACGAAAACTAAGTCGCCACAAAAGTCCCAATACGAACACGTGATTAAAGAGGAGAATAACTCTAGTAGTTCGATGATTCATAAGAAGCCTCCTCGAAGGTTAATACCTTGGCCCAACAAAGTTAAAGATATTCTAAGAAATAAAGGCCAATCAGAATCGGAAGCTCAACAAACTTGTAAGTACAAAAAAGTGTAGTGTATAAATGTTAAAGTGAAAAGAACTTCTCAACTAAAATGCATTTGCTAAAATTCGACATTAAAAAGTTACCATATTATAAAGATACAACAGAAATAACAACAATATTTTCAAAACTTTTCACTTTTTATAATAATTTAATGTTATCAAAACTGTAACATCCGCAAAAGGTTCAGACTGCTAGATAAACGATGACCTCTTATTTCACACAAATTTTCCAGAAATGCATCTAATAAGACATTTTTCAGAAAAAAGTTCATGATATTTTCAAAGTTTATTGGGAACTGGGTTTAAATTTTAAACAAACCAGATTGAGAACTATATATATGTGTTTATTAATTCTATTTACTTTTTAAGCTATTGGGAACCAGCAATCCTTGTCATCGTCTTATGATTACTCGAGTTTAATCATTTCAGATTCCAAACCAGAGGCGCAACGGGAAACTACTAACGTTGGTCAGGGTAAGTGAAACAAATAGAGATATTTCTAAAAGTTCGAATAATCTAAAAACTGATACAGGTATTATTGTACTTAAGTATTAATATATTGATGTACTTGAATAGGATTTCTCACTAATTATAGTAAAATTAATAGATGGATTTGTACCAGCTCAAAAGTGCGATATTATTTCTGAAGAAAACAGAATATTAAAGAAACAGGGCTATGTAGAACAGGAACAGGCTTGTGATCCGTTTCAACCACAACCTATTGCAATTGATACACCCAGTGAGTTGCAAATGGATTCGGGAGTAGTGACAAATGAACGTAAAGGTCAAAAAGTAGTACAACAGCACAGAGAGGATCTTCATGTTGACAAATGCGAAACTCTAAGAAAATGTATAAGTCCAAGTGGTTCACTAGATAACAATAAAAATATAAATTCTGATATCGTTGAGAAAGTGAATCTTATGATAAATAATCTTAAAGAACATTTGGAGCAACTTGAGTTGAATGTACAATCTATAAACGCAAATCTCAAGACCTTTTGTGAGGTTCTAAGCAAATATGCAGCAAATATCACAACCCGCACTAATCAGAACCCAGTAAGTGTAATAATGTTATTCCTGTTTTTTTATTGAATATAATTAACACTTTTGCTTTTATTTTATTTGATGTCTGGAGGAAGTAAACAATTTCATATTTAAAATGTTGAATGCTTTTGAGAAACTTTATCAGGAACTTCAGTTAGAAAATTGTTCTGCAGATCATAAGAATAAAGAAATTGTTAAACAACGTGTTAGTCTCCTAAAAAGTATTAAGACTGTTATTAAAGATTTGCGTGGTGTTGGGAATAATCAGAATAGTGGTTATCTCTCCAAATCACCTTCTTCGTCTGATGAGGCAATTGAAATAATCCACAAAGATGACATTGGGAGAGTTTGTAACGAAGTAAATGCGAACGACGTTAAACATATTTCGAATGTGCAAAACTCAAATGTCTTGAAAGCAGAAAAATATTCTCTACAGAAACAATGTAATACACAAAACCCATCACAGCTACAGCTTGGAGAAAGGGTCAAAAACTTCGAAGTAGACATAATGAAGCCATCAACTTCGACAAAAAAGGGCGGCGATCAAATTACAATTGGCAGAAAAGGGGAATACAATGAAAAAGAAGTTAATAACAGTAAAATTCTAGAACATTTTCAATCTTCTGACGTCACTTTATGTCAAAATAATGTAGTCAAATCTAATCCCGCCAATTGCATGGATCTCCCTTTGACCTCGAAACATAACATTGCTCCAAATGGTCCAGTGCTTGATTTACCCTCAGAGAAACGTGTCACTAAATTTGAGTTATTAAAAAAATTTTTGAAAAACTCAGATGAAAGGAATTCCATTGAAACTGAATGCAGCGAACAAGAAAAACCACAAGGCAGTAAGGACTCCAGTATAACATATACGTACATGTCTTCTGATTCACCTAAAATATGTGACTGTTGTTCTCGCAGTTATGATCCAGTTTATGATAGTGATGTAATGCGTGTGATATCAGATGCTACAATGGATCTTGATCGCTCTGACATACAAATTAGACTAAATATCTCAATGAATGATGTGATTTACGTGAAAATTATCCTTATGACATCTCTGCAGGAGATAAAATGTTTCTATGTAACAGTTAATGCCCTTGAAAGCGCCGAGCTCGCAGGACTTTTCGAAGAGTTTTGTGTATACTTAGTTTGAAACTGTAGTTATATATGGTATATATATTTTATCACAAATAAGAAAGTATAAAAAAAATTGTATTCGAATTCTGAAAACATAAATTCTAACAAAAAATATCAATAAATGTGTTTCAGATAAATGGTTATTGTTTTTATTTTAAAAAAGGGAGGCATTATATAAAATATATAGTATATATATTCTGTACTGTACATAATGTTATAATTAATAACAAATTTTAATAATCTCTAAGGTACTTTAATGGAAATTGGTGATAATATTGCAATTTTTTTATGGATGTGATTCATATCTGTAATTAGATTAACAAGGAAACGTCACAGTTTACACAATAAAAACAAATTTCTGTATTTTATTTTCCAGCAAATGATTTATTAATACTAGAAATAAAGTTTATTATTTTATAATTGAAGAATATTAATTTAGAGTTAATCAGCGTGGAATAATGGCTTTAAATTTGGCTAGGCATTGAAGACAACGACTTAATCTTTTATCAAGTCTTGAAATATTTGTAAACCTCGCTTAATCGTAATATATATTAAAATGTTGACTCAAGTATAGATACGTTTGCTATCACGGTTTTGTCTTCATTTCAATTCCTCGTTTTTGTCTTTCCCTGTTTTTGAAAGAGAACTATATTTTCAAGCATCATTCCGTAAATGATGCCATTTTGGGACCTATTCTTATATGATTAAAGAATGTGGACTCTTTTTTAACTTAGTTCTTATTTTAAAGTGGCTTCGTTTTTCATCCAGCTTAAAGTAAATTGAATGAAGTTTGTTGCGGTTCAGTTCCTGGGGATATCGCTTCTTATTCATATGGTTCCACTAAATTGATGAACCTTTAAAACTATGTCTATTTCTAATTGATATTTCCTTGCAAAGGTTCATTACGACAGAGAACATTTGCCTCGAGCAACATCAAAAAAATTCTTATACAAATAAAAGTATTTTGAAAATCTATATCATATTTAATGACAAATAACTACGTTTTTATTGTTATGCTCACGGAGTGCTTCTTACGACTAGGTAAAACAATCACACCCACAACGAAATCTCAGAAAAATTATAAATCAATCAAAATTTATTCTTTTGCTCTGAAAGAGGGCTTACTGAATGCAATACAACCATGCCAGAGTTCGAATTAGTCCACTATACATTTCTCTTATGCTGATGAAGTATTTACTTCACTGCAGCAATCGACATGAAATAATTTTGTGAAAGTGAGAAATTAGGTTTTAAGGTACAGAAAAACGCCACCTTTCAGGAGAGTATATGAGTAGAGTGCCTGCTCGATTATATTTCTTAAGTTTTTTGTCTGAAAACATTTGTACAAAAACAGCATACTTAGTAGTCAGGGTTGCTTTAAGTATTACCTTCATCGCTTGAAATATGAAGACTATTCCAACAGCCCAATATTTCTAACCAAAATAGAGAATGGTTAACATGTGTTTTTCAAGTCCCCGCAATTTGACAAAGATCGACAAAGCATACAGACTGTTTTTGATAAAACCCCAACAGTGGGAAACCTCATCAGATAAATGTTCAGTTCAACGAGAGAGTTCAAAAACGAGAGATAGTAAAAATGGCGACTGCGAGCATTATAATGGTACTGCGACGTAATGAACGCATAAGAGTTGCAGAAAGAGCTAACTCACATAACGCAAACGAGGTAAGACGGGCTGATACGAACAGAGACAATCAACTGACTATGTAATCACAAATGCTTAGACAATGTCTTGATGAAATACTTTATAGTGGTGTCAGGAGGAACTTTTCGTCTGGACAAAGAAAGTTTTTAGAGTGGTCTAGGCTTTCGAGCTGATTCAAAAACTATTAATAATGGTATCATATAAACAGGCTATCACAGATTCGATGGGATTAATTCCATAAAAATTTCCAACACAGCGACATCTACTTCAATCAATCTAATATAAATAAGAATAACGCAGTTTTAATGAAATTTCACACACAGACTTACGTAGAGGACATGTAATTTAGCATATTGGTAGGGCAATGTAACTCTATTCTCTATTACTTCAGTGCTTTGTGAAAGAAGGACATTCATATGTATTTAATCTAAAATGTTAAAAACACTGAAATATTCATTAGATTTATTCATTATTGTTAAAGTAATTACTTGCGTTATTACAATTGCGATTACTTCTGTGAGCCATATTTGTCATCCAATGATACTACATCACGACACTACAAAATTTAGTATTTTTATTTTTGTGGACCAGTCTGTAACGTCTAGTGGAGTTACTTAAACAAGTTGGTCATAGCTGCCATATGACCTCCATGTTTAACACAGATTTTCCATTATTATTTGTAAAAAATGATTTGGTGTTGGGTATAAGTTTTACTTGTATAATAACGTTATAATTTTTGTTATTCTGTTACGGCATTGATGAAATCTATATTTTGTTATACATTTAAAAATCACTAAGATATATTTTCACGTTTCATATATTTCGAATTATTACTGTATCAAGCACAAATGAAAAAACAGAACTTTTTCAACTCGAGTTCTTAACTCAATCGATTATGATTATCAAACCACTAATTTTTAGTTCTTATTAATAAATAATAATACTAACAATAGAATCAACTGAAATTTTTTAATATTACATCTGCGAACATTATTTTCTAGATTACCTTTAGAGCACAATACCATCCACGCGCAGAATAGATTTCGTCTACCGTCTTACTTAACTTTTCTAAAGCAGTCATTACATATTAATATTATATGTTGAAAAATATTATTATTTATTTATTTATATATTATTTTTATAGTACTATTTACTGCATTTATAGCATCAACTACCAACTATCAGTACCAATGTAGGTTAAGAATTTCTTAAGACAATGGAGTCTATGCGTCACTTGATACTGTTATATATCAGTAATCTCACATTCACTTAAATACCGATATACTCCAATTACATCTTAGATTTTATCTACCATATTTGAAGTCGTTACCTTATTTCAGTTAACTGATGAATTTGTTGCTCTTAAAGAACACAATAATGGTGAATACAAGCATTATTATTCATTAAAGTGCTATAAAAGGTTTCACTTTATCTTATTTGGAATTGTGATGGTTTCCATCGGTATGAAATCATTTTAATACATTAACGAAATTTAGAATTATGTTGAAGATGAATTACAGTTCGAACAACTCTGTTGTTTCATAAATGAAAATATTAGTTTGATATGAATTATTATTATTATATTCATGGAATTTGATACGAATTTATTTATATTATTACTATTGAAATTAATATTAAATTGAATTAATTATAGTATAGCATTTTTATTGACTTTATAATTTGTCATACTTGCGTTGCCACAGTATTTGGTGGCTGGACATTAATTTTTCCATCAAAATATTGTCAAGACGTCAAAAGATGCATCAATGGACCAAAAAAAGATACTTGTTTCAGCAGAAAACGTTTCTAGAAATTGACAAAAACAAATATGCCACTAGGTGGTATTTACTGGATGTCTTAAACGCATCCAACTTGTCATTAGACATACGAATAATAGATTGTTTAATTTGTGGTTTGTCAGCCAATGGACCTGAACTGTTTAACCGGTTATTTTTACTTGAAAGGGAATTGCTTCAGAAAATTATGTTTCAGTCATACGCTAATAGATTTATTCAAAATTACTTTCATAATTTGTTAATGTAAACGTTTAACGTCTGGGAATCAACTTAAGCAAAGTTCGTGATGCAAACATGGTATTAGCTTCATTTAATAATTTTTTCTGAGTACGATACTGAGAATAGTGCATTATCGATAAGATTTTGGCACAAAAATGGAGAAATGACAGATTTTTAAAATAATATACCTTCTGTTCAAAAAGTACTCGGAGTTTGTAAATAAATCACACAAATTTAAATTTTATTTCAAATTTATTTTATCTCCTCCAAAATATGCTCCTTCTGAAGAGATACACATATGCCAACGCTTAACCCAATCTTCCATACACTTTTCGTAGGCCCGTGAAGGTATGGCTTTTAGTTCCTTAGTTCCTTCAGCGAATTCTCTTTTACCGATTCAATCGACTCAAAACGCTTACCACGAAAGATCAATTTAAGTTTCGGAAACAGGAAAAAGTCGCATGGATCCAGATCTGGCGAATATAGTGCCTGAGCGATGACAGTGGTGTTGACAGCCGTGTTTGGTCAAAAAATCGCGCAAAACAAGAATTTTCCATATTAAAAATCGCTAAATGCACTCGAGGTAGTCTCACATTAACAGCTGCTGTAAACAAACTAATTGACAGATGGCGCTCAAACACAATATCAAGAACCATATGTCAAGAAAGGGTGTACCGACATAAAAAAAAATATTTTTGAAAAAGGTCTATTACTTAAGGAGTAGTTAACAAACAACAAAATCCGGATACTTTTTGAGCAGAAGGTATTGCTAGTGCTATTTTTGCGTTCTTAATTGTAAATGATAACTTAATTAAAATTCTCTATTACAAGTATTTACGTGATATTTTAATAAATATTCTATAAATACTATGTATTTCTATTTAGTTAATTTCATTTTTAAAAAACAATGAATTTGTCAATATTTAACCCAGCTTTCCATAATAACTAATTGCTGGAAACCAATTATTGTCGCAATGAAAACTCGAAACGGTAATAAGTGTATTTTTTGACATCATCGCTCCAAAAAAACACAGGATGCTTAAAAATTAACATGCAAAGCAAAAACAAAATGCGCTAAAATAAGTCCAACTTCCTGAAAGGGCTTAACGAATGAGCCCCTCACACTACAACAATGCCAAATCTTTAAACTGGAACTTTTGTGAATGATTTTTGGTAGCAGATGAATATCTGCACTCAGATGTTTAATATTAATATGGGTCATTCTTTTACAACTCGGACACCTTTTTGACCTCATGATCTCCGATTTGGCTGAAATTTTTTTTATGAGCTCCTTTCATAAAATAAGAAGACACGTATCTCGTGAAAAAATTTTGTGATTTTTTTCCTAGGAGATATGGAGCCATGTGGTTTTGAGAATTGGCATAGTAGACACATTTTCAAAT